CAATTCTTTTGACTTTTTGAAATGTTATTTTATCAATATATGGTTTAAAAAATTATATATAATACATAATAAAAATAAAAACACTTCTTTTGATTTTCGAAATTTTATTTTATCGATATATAGACCATATTTTGTGCCAAAAACTATAAAACATTCATTTGAAACAGCTATCTGTCCAATAATTATTTAAAGTTATTTTTATAATTTAAAAATACTATAAAACGAGAAAAAATGTTGTGAATGTTTTGATGAGAAAATTATATATGTATTTCCCAATTTCGCTTTTTTTTTTACAAATATGCCAAATTGAAATTCGCGAATGTTTCGGACGATCGAGCGAATATTTAATTGATATCCATGTGATGAACGTTCATCGATCGTTCCGGCAGGAAGGCTCGCGGCCATCGTCATTACGGCCGTCGCGGTGCTACGAAAAATATTTCCAAGGTCATCACAGACAATAGTTCCGGATGTCGGAGGTGCGGGGGACTATATCGTGCAGAGACGAAAGACGTGCGCACTTTCAAGATTCTCCCTAAAGTTAGCTTACTAAAGTCGCTCTTACAATAGTAACAAGACTTGATCCTATTTACAACTGGTTCTCCTCTTCCATTATCCTGTTAACACCTCGAGGAGATGGATGCTAACCGTGCCAAACTCTGCGAGATTCCAAATAATCCATGGAGCATCTATTCGTCATTGTTACGGGACATCTAAAACCCGCGTATATATTTACACTCCGTCGGCGATTCAGAGTTCTGGACTCCCTCAAGGCCCGCTGGGCCCCAGCCAGCTCACATCGGGAGCCACTCATTACGCTGAGACTTAATAATGTTAAGGCATCGTCGTGCGTATCGACGAACACGAGTTCCTCTCTAACGTTCGTTGGCAGTAGCGAAAATGTCGGTCGGGATCCATCACCTTCACCCGCTCGATCCAGGCACTATCAAACCCCCATATATCCAAACGCATCATAATATCACTCTTAACGTAGAACGATCGAAAAATGATCGTGGAATTTTCAAAGTTAGAAAAATTCGGAAACTCTAGAACTTTGAAGGTAGAACTTGAGTTTGCGAATTTTAGAAGCTCAGTGATTCGAATAGTGTCATGGAAGCGCAGAGAGAGTTTTTAAGTAATAAGATTATTTTCAAGTTTGCGATCCAATTTTGCAACTAGAATAACGCAAATCTGATGATCGTCGAAACTCGAGAGATGATTTTGAAGATTTTAAACTGTGTTAACAAAAAAGTCTTTTTTCGTTCAACTCCGATCAATCTTATGGTTTCAGTCGCGTCTTTGGGAGTCTACGAAGAGCGTCGTCAGAACGAGCGTGGCGAATGGTAATGGCATAATATTGTAATGATGCATGCGACGATGAGGAGCGTAAAGTCGAGAGACGAGCGGAATAATTTCACGCTTGACTGTGAACCGCGGCTCCGTATGTCATACTGGCTCCTCTCGCTTGAAATTGATGTTCTGGGAGGCGCAAAAGTCACGGGTGAATGGCACGCAATTGAACAGTTTGCACACTTCACACTCATACACTGGTACGTTGTAAAAGAGGGCGAGTAACAAGGCAAACAGGCCCATAATCAGAATCATGCAGATCCAAATCAGTAAGATCTTCCGTCTACGGTCGTAATGGCCAAATGAGATAAAGGGCATCAGTGCGTAGGCCGCCAAAAAGCCGAAGATAAAGCCAAATAGATGCGCGTAATTATCTATCCATGGTAGGATACCCAGCGTCAATAATCCCAACAGAATCAGGATCAGCTTAGATAATGCGCGACGAGGGTGCTTCAGCATTGGCCAGCAATGTAGCACTTCGACCACCAGCGTGGCAAGTAGAGCGAAATGTGCGCCGGCTGGACCAACCTGTAAACAAAATGAATAGTATTAACGATAACATTAATATTATATGTATTGATGCGTTCGTTTAAAAAAATGATAAATTTCCACAAATACGCGTTAATCGATTTAATAAACTTTTATGTTTCATACATAAAAAAAGAAAAAGAAAAGAGGGGAGAGAGAGATTTTATAGCAATATCTCAATATTAAACAGACAATTGCCCATAAATTATTAATTGTAATATTGTTAACTAATAAATCCAACACTCAATCGGAAAAAAGTGTTGCAATCTTTTAGTTGATAA